AACTTATATGCACTTTGTAGGACTTTATTCAAAGAATCTAAATCCACTTACCTTTTCATGCGATAACTTTGACAAAAAGAAATATCCTGCAGTTAATTATGCACAAAAATGAAATTCAAAATTGTGAAAACAAACTTGTTGTCGTTTGACCATCTCAATGTTGACTAATAAAATGCTGTCATACCACCATTTACATTGTTTTCGATGCTCTACACGACAACACTAATATTATTTTGCGTAGTGCTTCCGATTTTCGAAAACAGAGGGAGGTCGGGTTTACCCACACTGTCGGCTTTACCCCACCTTACCCTATATTTTGTATATTTTCATGTCTAGATCTGGAAGCTATCAGTTGATGAATTCTAGCAAGGAATGAACAAGTGGATCAAATTAACCATTCATTTTCATATCTAAATTCACTCGTCCGTATGTTTGTTTTCGATGAATCTGCACCGTTGTCGCTCGCACAGAATTGAGCAAGCAGGGCGAGTATCTTGCAGATACCAAGCACATACATACATATGTGCATACATTTGTGGTATTTTTTGGCAAAACACGTTTGACAGGTTGTCTGTCCGAGAACAGCGACCACAAGCCCCGAAAAGCATGAAAATATTAGAATTATTCCGTTCTGTTTCAAAAAATCACTGACCAAACGTAAGCAGCAAAATGTTATCGGCTGATTCGCTAATTTAGCAAAATTACTGGCTGCTGCTGCTGGCCTTCGTTACTCAATCTCAGAATATTGCAATCCGGGAGAGATGATGATGCTGAGCAAATGAATAGCAACTCACACTCACATTTTTAGTGAGTGAATGCTAATTTCGCGCCAGAAAGAGATGGCATTCTCGATGCCTTGAACTTGAATTTCGGAGAGAGGGAAAAAATACGGGCCTTCAATCGAAGCTCGGTACAGCCGAAAAGTTGGAAATTAAATAAAAGCATAACGAGCCGAGAGCGAGAGTGGCAAAAGGAGCTTGCAGCAGAGTGCAGCAGAAACACGCGCTCAAAGTATCGAGCAGCGAGCAGCGCGTCAAAGTGACGCGCTCTTGCTGCAACCTTGTCCTTGAACTTGGCAAACATTTTTTGTTGCTGTACCTATGTGTGTATTTTGCAAACCGAAGGACACAAACACACTGGCAATGCGCTTTCAAACATACAGAGAGCTGCAGCTGCAAACGCTGGCAGAGGGCGCACTTTGTTCATATAGGGCTTCCTGAGTAAATGAATGCATATGTACATATATTTATATACTTTTATCGCATTAGCTATATGGACACATAAAACAAGACGCCATTTTTGCAGTTGAATTGAAAAAGCACGATATCCTACAGTGCTATCGTGCGATCAATTAGCTTACAAGCTACTCGATCGCTCGATCTTCCGAGTTCTAATTATTTAATAATGAATAAGAGTACATTGGAAATGATTAATTTAAAATATGCAATATTATACTTAAATTCAGAATTTAAATTTAATAATTGAGCATTAAAATTATTTATAAAATGAATTTAATAAAATTGTTAATTTATTTTTGGAGAAATATTTCTAGTGCTTAGAATCTCGTTGGATCAGATCGAGTCATTAAACCAAAAGAAACAGAACAAAACAGAAACAGCTAAATATACAGACGTATTGTTAACCAAGGTCAAACGTTTTTATTTATAAAAGAATTAAAAAAAAAAGAAACATCTAATTGGCGAGCAAAAAGGAGAGGCAGAGAGAGGCGATATGGACAACCATTTTGTATATATGGACAAACCTACAGACATACAAGCGATTATACAATATATCAAAGATACCTTGATAAACAAACAAGAGATAGCAACAACAACAACAATTCTAAATAACGTCCCAAAGCGGCAACAATAATAACAAATTCCCAAAAATATGGTGGATTTCTCGATGCGCCAGAGGCCGGTGCGGGGGAGGGGGCTTCTACAGATACAGAACTTTTTGGCGTACACCACACTAAGATACGGATACAAAGGCACGCACACCACTGGCTTGGATTTTACGCATGTCTGCGAACCGGCTTTTTTGCTTTACCCCCTCCCATTCCCCCCGAATTAACCATTTGCGTTAGAATAAATACTTCAGCAAGCTCGCCGCACAGAATGTATCTGTATCCCTCAATGATATATCCAAAGTGGCAAAAGTATCTGCCGGCTGTAGTCGCTGGGGCGTTCCAATACGAAAATTACTGGGGTAGGCAAAGGGTTGTTGGTTGGCCAGAGGCACATAAATCGACGATTTTGGCTTCTACAGTGCTCACGAGTTTGTCATGTGATTTTGGTCTTCGCCGCCGATAAGAGAAAACTTGAGAATAGACTGCAAAAAAGTGCCCAAAATAATGTATTTCTTTGCGAAATCGGAGAACGAAGAACGAAGAAACGGCTGATAAGGTTTTCATTGTATTTTCCACTTTTAATTGCAGTGCACACTCGATACAATAAAACCTGCAAAGTTGTAGTAAGTATATCATAAACATAACACAAAATAAATTTTTTAATTTTAATTTAAATAAAAAAGTTTGGAAATGTTTATTTAACTTGGGATATTTTAGAAATATTTCATATATCAGTGTCACTTTTTCAAGTGTTCACTGTACATTGGGACACTTTTATGGCGAATAACACCTAAAATTGTTGCTGTGTTGTGTTCTATAAATAAATATCGGTTATTTGCCTTGCTGAAAAAAACCAAGTTGAAAGTACTAAAAATACTTGACTAGGCAATTATCGAGCATAAACGGGGTCCAAAGATGAATAGGTGGACGATAAGTAACAAACAAAAGAATAAATTGCATCATATAGTGCTTTACTGAACGTTGTCATATGATATAATGAGGATTCTATGACGATCATTCACCAGTAAGGGCAATATGTTATGGAATTTTTTAAGATTGAATTATCAGAAACACTATAAATGCTAATTTGCGATATGAGTTTAACCAGAAATGTTTAAGATAGTGAAGGAGACCTTCTCTAAAGGGTTCAAACAAAACGAATTTCGTGGAATATTTTTGCTACATCAGAATGTCCGTTAGCTACAACTCGCCGCCACTTATGTTATCAACGGTTTATATTTCCGCCTTCAAGTTATGGCTTATAAATCAGCATACTATCATCCCTTTCCGCCCACATATCAGGGCATCACAACACCTACCGATGAAAAATTATACTTTAAGCACGGCTCCATTCATTAAAGCGAAGAGAGATAAACTTGAGCGGTTTCCACTCGAATACGAACATTTGAATATCGCGAGAGTGTGATAAGAACTCAGTTGGCGTTGGGCTCCGGGCTCCGATAAGTGGCAACAGGTGGAACGTGAATGAACGCAGCTACGACAACCCAAGTCAGCTCGACCCGAAAAGAAAAGCGAATCAAAATCAACTTGCCAATTTTTGCGATAGCACACCATTAACGTTGTTTTTTTTTTCTTTTGTTTTATAATCGGTATTTTTGCTTTTGCGCTTACCACGACAACAATTTCCTGTGCACATAAATACCTCAATATCAAGTTCCAGAGATTAGAACAGAAAAATAGAATGAATTCTTTGCAATTCGCCAGTTAGAGTTTTTTTTCAGATTTTTTTTTTTTTTTTTTTGGGTTTGTTTATAAGTTTTGCCCGCCGCCTGACGTTGGCACTGACCTTCGGACACAAAATAAGCGGCAATATCTTTTTATAATGCATTTGCCAGCTACAATGTTAAAGGCTCGTGTCTTACTGGATCCTTATCTTGTGGCCAAAGTGACAGGTCTTAAACTGATTTCATTTATAATCGAAATGAAAGTCAATTGAGTTCTGTAATTATTATATAAGGTGCATACATTTTGATTTGACCTTAGCGCGTTATCAATAATTTGTGTGTGGTCATGATTAAAAAACTTTCTAATGATGTCCTGCGAGCGCCGCTATCAATTGCTATCTACTTTCTGCTTAAAAACACCTGTTGTTACCCATATGTAGATTAGGTTTACGGTAAATGATCCTTTCAAGTGGCCAGCTCCTATGGGTGACTCACCCCTGGTCAGCGGTGACTCACGACTGCGTAGGAAACCCCTCTTGAACATCGAATCATTATCAAAAAACAGCGAATACCTAGAACAATATAATATTGGCCTATTGTCATGATGACTCAATAAGAGCCCCGTTTTCTAATCCCGTTGACTCATCAATATTACGGCTTGAGAACCTGGCCCAATTGCCAATGACCAATTAGGGGGTGTGTGTGTCCTGCCATTTCTTTTTCACTTTCCAACCAGATTCTAATCGGTGAAACAACTGTGTGCTTTTTTATCTGATGGCGTGTGTTTATAGATCTGTTTTGATACATTTATGAGCTAATCATTGACGTAAGGGGTTGGGTGTTGATTAAATGATATTTGTATTTATTTGAAATAAGGGGTTTTACGTATACTTATTTATATTATTGTGTCATATATTAAGGTGTCTAAAGATTCACTTTATTTTAATTACTTGGTACCTCAAAAACTTAATTTAGCTTTACATGATCGCTTAAGCTATTTTAACTTAATAATTCTATTACGTTACAGGCTCTAAAAATACCGCAAAATAATTATTTCTATTAAAAGTACTTTCCTAGACATCAAAATATAGTTGCTTTAAATTCTATGATTGTACTTAGCAGCCCAAAAAGAATGATTAATATAAAACACAAGCATGGACTTGGCTTTTAAATTATTTAGATACATGTGTACAAATGAATGTATTTTAAAAGATACAAATATTTATTAGTTCTAACAGATACTTCTAGATACTTCAGGGAACTTCAGATTATTTAAAATCCAGAGGGGCCAAATAGTAAAGCCTTTGATCGAATTTGAAACGTGTTTCGAAAACTAAAAATTTTTAATTTTTAGATTAAGAACTTTGTAAAATTTTGAATTAAGCTTAAAAATATTTTGGGAAATTAACTACAATACATATTGTGTAATAATTACCCACAAATAGTTAACCCTTTTTAAAACTCACCATAAAATGTAACTGGAAAACAGATCTTAGCACGCAAGGTGTAATCCAAAAGGGGGCTTGCGATACTTTGGGCGATTGCTTAACACTTGTTGGCGGCTGATTGGCTGCCTGCTTGTTGTTCTGGGGAGTCGCGTCTAAACACGCGCGTCGACCAGCGGCAAGTGTTTTCCGCCGAAACTGCGAAACAGACCCGTAGCCGTACCCGGACCCGTAATCACAATTGTGTTGCGACAATTCTCTCGCTCTCACTCGTCCGCCGATGACCAATTACAAAATACACACTGAGTCGTCGGCCGTTAGAACAGGACCACTTCTGTTTTCTTTTCTATTTTCTCAGTTTTCACTGTTTTCTGTTTTCTGGTAGTGGTTCTGGTTTGTTATTGTCGTTGTCGTATCCGAAGAGAGCTGCTGATCGGGCAGCGAGCGATCGTAGGTATACGCGATGCGGGAGCCACCGACGACGCGAAGCTTTCGGGTTGGTGGTCGGTCGTTTGGCTTTTCTCGTCCGAGCTTACTCGCCGTTGCCAGCGGAGGCAGCCTTCGATATATTATAAAATTATTATTTTCAGCTTTTAGAATCGTGCTGCTCTCCCTCTCTGGCTCTCGTTTTTGCCTTCCGATTTCCGTGTATATGTATGAACGGCTCTAATCACGAGTGTGAGTGCGAGTGTGTTTGTGTGTGGGCCTGCTATTTATTATCTAGCACTCATTGTTTGTCTTTGCGCACATTCACACGCCACTATAAACAATATTGACCTAGGTTGTTTCTGTGTGTATGTATGTGGCGGATATATAATAACTAATGAAGGTTTACGAACAAATATGTTATCGCACTTCTGGATTCTAAGCACTTTTCCACGAAAACACTGCTTTTGATTTTGCCTCAGTCAGTCTTTAGTGTAAAAAAACGAGACACACACAACAACGTTAAAAAATTGCACTTGCGTTTGGAACTAAACTTTAGTATGTTGCTCAGTGTGATTTCCGTTAAGGCAAATGAGATCAATTGGTATTATGTCGCGCACTGTATGTGATTTGTTCCTTTTGCAGGGTCTATAGCTTTAGCGATAGCTACTCGAGTTTTTGTTTAACTAATCGGAGTACGTGTCCGTCCGCGTCGCCTGCTCGTCGAGAAATACGAGAACCGAAAAATTTGCCGAGAACAAAGCTCGCAGCGGCAGAGCAGCGGCCGAGGCGGCGACTGAGGCAGCGACGCCGACTGCGCGGCATTGGTGCAGAATGAAAGTCGCTCGGCGTACGGATGTGTGTGTGTGTGTTTCCGAGCCGGCATTTGCCGCAGCTGCCTCTCACACAGGCAAAGGTGCGCCGTTTTCGCAGTTGTTGTACTTATTCGGCAATTTTTGTTGTTGTTGCTCTCGCTGCCGCTTGTGCTGGCATCGACGCTCAACTTACTCAATAAAATTTTTATTATGATATCTACACGCACACGTTCGAAACGTCGACGTTTTCGGATGGATTGTCGCCGTTGGGCTTTCAGCTTTCCGTTCTTATCGCCGTTTGCTTCTGGCCGGATGACGTTTCCGTCCGAAATTGGCCGAACCTCAGACTCAGATTTGTTAACAAAGAAGATGGCCACGACGACCCTGGCCAGGAAGAGTTGCCAGTCACTGTCCAAGGGTCGCACAATATGGGAGTATATTCCCACTAACACGTCAAATATTAAGTTATACACCAGTTATTACAATTATGACTTATCGGCCATTTTTTGTACCATATTTTCAAATAAATTCTAATAAGTTGTCCTGAAAGCCAGTTATTATTTTCCACTGAGTGTAAAATTGGTTTTGGTACTCCTCCTAAACTTGCAGTAATCCTCAAATTTATAAAATCGCCATGATTAGAAGAATTTCAGACATAGACTTAATCACATAAACTTATATTCCATAACTCGTTTGTTTTTACTTATAACTAACCGACCAGGTTAAGGGTTTATGGCGTTTTACCTTTCGGAGTTTCTGAGATCTATTTGTTCTTAAATGGAGTGGGGTCTATGTGCATCAAAATATATTTTTACTTATAACTAACCGACCAGGTTAAGGGTTTATGGCGTTTTACCTTTCGGAGTTTCTGAGATCTATTTGTTCTTAAATGGAGTGGGGTCTATGTGCATCAAAATATATTTTATACAGGGTCAAAGCATCTTTCCCCTTCATTTTAGCACGCCCTTATATTCTGTTAGTGTCGGATATATAAAAATAATTTGGAAACGAGAGCAGGGCTGATACATTCCTTTGTTGCTACAAAAAGAGTGTATTGACCTGAAGTAAGCGGAGCAGCGACAAAAATGAAAAATAAAGCAAAAAATAATGCTACAGTCCAGTGCCTCGACGTTGAGATACCGGGTCCTCAACAGAATGTTCTTCATTATGTGTGTATTTATTATATTTATTATTATATACATATATACACATGTAGTAGCCTAACTTAATAGTAATATTTAGTATGCAAATCAAAAGTATCTCAGCAATCGAGTCTCTTGACCATAGAATACCCGACTCCCAATGCATTGCCTACTTTTTGGGCATCTAGTGGCCTGTTACTCTACGAGCTATCGTGTTTATCGATACAGGTGCAGAATTCGGCGAATTCATAAAATTAAGAAATTTCAGTTGACGCGTGACTGAGATGCGGCGGCGGCAAAGGAAAAAGTTGCAGCAACGCTGAACGCATTTCCTGCGCTGCTGCAGATCAGGGGGAGGAAGACGGGCGGCCGGGGCTTAGACTGAAGGGCGGGGGGTGCGATAAATTAAAGCTTCATCCCTTGCGCGACTTCGGCAACGACCAGCACCAACAGAAACGGCCGAGGCCGAGAGCCACAAGCGAAAACCCCAAACCCAAGGCGTCTGGCAACATTGCAAAAAGGGCAACGGCAACGCGGGCAGCGCTGTCGGCGTCAGAGCAAGCAGCGCCAGAGTCCGCGTGGCGGTCGTGCAACGGCTTTCAACGACATCGCGAGGACGTGCCACTATTTTCGACACATGCTGCACATGCACAGTGGGGGCGGGGGAAAAAGCAGACTCGTGTAGTCACCAGCCCATGCAACGAGTGTGCACGACTCTCTCCGTGTCGGTTGATATGTTTATGCCAAGGATTTCGTGTACTCAAGAGTACATGAATAAAGATTACATGAAATCAAATGAGCATCATGGATATCGTATTATAGATCACAGAAAATTGTCTAATATATTTTTGAGCTTTGAAATGACTGCCTAGAAATATGGCAGGAATATCTGAAATGTTGCAAAAGTGCCACTAATTTAATGACTAGATTTTGCTCTTATTAGAAAACATATTATTGTATAACATATACATATACATAGATATATGAAATCCCATAAACTCAATCTAAGTATTCGAATCGTGGCGATTCTGCCTGAACCCGGTGGGCGTGGATGTTGCGTCGGCTGTCAAGAACTCGAATCTCTTTTCGTTTACTGGGTGGGAGGACATCCGTTAAATGTTGGAATTTGTAGATGTTTATTTTAGGAGCTACATCTGAGTTCCTTGCCAAAACTGTCAAAATATTACAAAATAACTTTGAAAAACTGACGCCTTTTCTAATAAAACGGTTGTAATTGAACCTTAAAGACTTGTATAATATATTTTACATTAATAAGTCTATGCCGAAATATCTAGCCAATTCAAAGCTTAAAAACGGGGGCTGAGGTATAAGTATTTATTTATTTTATAAAACGGGTTGTCTTGGGTTTTTTAAAAGGCCTCACTTAAGTGCCTACAGCTCCTAGTGAAGTTTTCTAACGTAAATATTAGGACCAGTAATGTGAAAATAGAATATTGTTTTGAAAATAAAAAAAATAGTGCACTGGACAAATGTATACGCTTACATGAGTGCAAATTATACTAGAATAATTGCCATAACAATCTCCGTTAGGTTGTTATGCATTTATAGCCTACAGATAACATTAAAAAAAAATGCGCCGCCCAAATTGCGATTGAAATTAAAAAAGAATAGGAGCACGTAATCAAAGAGCAAATATTAGGAATCTGTACAAAGTAAATGTCAACACTCGTGTGGAGCTATTACATCTACTGAGACGCAACAAGTTTAGAGTGTCGTGCCGACTACCACAACTTTGTAATATTCCTTATAAGATAGATAGGGGTGGCAGGGTCCGGACTCGGCTCTAGAAAAAGCTTATCGCGCCGGAGGTTGCGTAACTTGGTGGAATTCATGTAACCACTTACACTTACACTGGCACCAAGCAATTTATGGCATATAGGTATGAAATGTCAAACAGACTCATTTGAATATGTACATATGTATACATATGTTTATTTATGAATATACAATCCGCACAAATACGTTGATTGCACTCGAGGTGGAAGTACAATAATGCCTTATCCAATCTGATGTAATTCCTATTATTGCGATTGCAATAAATTTGTTTACCAAGATGCAAAGCAAAAGCAAAACAGACCGACTAGTGAGTGTATGGAGGGACGGGATGGAAAACACTTGAGAAAAATATTGCGGACAGAAAATGTTCTTCCCTCCCTTTTCCATGCTTAACTTACCTGTTTATCATTACAACTTGTAAATGTTTGCATATATTGTTATAAATGGGTTTTATTTATAACATGGTTAGAAGTGAGTACAGGCATTCGTTCATTTCGCAAAATACTGAACCTTTTATCGTTCTTAATATGTATTTATAGGGCAAAATATATCATCATAAGCCAATGTTTCATACTTACCACAAGTTGTTTTTATCCAAATAGGTTCTTAAGTAGATTTTAAATATTCTTTATGAAAACAAAGTTCTAATATCTAACACAATAAGTTACAATGCACGTAAGATACATATTTTTAAAGATGGCAAGTAATGTGGAACAGGAATAGGTTTGTATTTTCAAACTATATCTATAACTATACCATTTGAGTAAATGTAACCCATTTAAACAAATTATCGACCTTTATTTTACCTTTTAGAAGCAATTGATTTGTTCAGACGCAGCAGTTGCAACTTGAGTGCTTTATCGCTGGGCAAATCGCTTAGCAATTCAATTGGACACTCAGTTTATCCATATTCATAGGGGCGGACAATAAGGCTTCACTGTATTACGGATCAGCTACCGATAATGGTAAGATAAGGGAGGGGGCGGTTCAGTGCGGCGGCATTGCCATTTTGCACGTAGGCAGACTGCGTCAATAATAACTGCAGTGACAACTTCCTCACGAAAGCGAGCACTCTCACAATTTTACTGCACTTCTCTCAGGGCGTCTTTCGCCTCTCGGTTATTATCTCTCTCTCTCTCTCTCTCGCTGGGTGGCTGGTTCGGTTCAATGACCGCCTACACGTGCATCGCAAACCGATGCACGGCCTCCTTCAAAACGTATAACGAGCGACTGTCGAAAACTATTGCACCGCCTCCCCACATTACACGTTGCATTTATCGCATGCACATGTTTGCTGTGCCACCTCCTCTCTCGCTTGCTGCATCTCCCTCTCTCGCTCAACTATTAAATGGCTTATTATAGCTAGACAGTCTTTCTTACAGTTTGTGTTGTTGCCTGATTTTTCAATGTTTGCTTTTCAGCTGCGCGTGGCCTGCACTTGTGTGTGTGTGGAGTCCGCTCCCCTCTGCCCAGTCTCTTTCTCTCTCCCTGTCTGTGTGTATGATAGCAACAAAGTTGTTCCTATCTCAAGACAACTTGCAGTTTGATTATTTTCGGCTGTACAGTTATTTAAGGAACATGAAGAGCGTTATGCCGCGCCCACGCCAATTATATCATCACCTCGAAATATCAGAAATACTTACATACATATAATGAACGTATATATAGTATATTGCTCATATCTCGACTCGTTTAAAGTTGTTGTTTTGGACAATCGTACTCGAGTGGGACAGTTGTTGCATTTGTTTTTTACTTTCCAGTTGATATCAGGTTGTGCCTTTCAGATGCTTTACAGGGGAGAATAATCCAGGGAAATCAATTCTCGGAATATCCAGGAACAAATAACTATATTTTCTATTTATTCGATCTTTGTCGATCTGTATAGAATAAATAACTACTAGTTGCATATATATTTTACTTTTCATGTTTTAAAAATCCCTGAAAAAAGCAATCATTAGCAC